TATTTATTTTTGAAGGAGAGAGAGACAGAGTGTGAGCAGGGAAGGGGCAGTAGAGAGGGAGACTCAGAATCCAAAACAGGCTCCAGGCTCTGAGCTGTCAGCACAGACCCCGATGCAGTGCGTGAACCCATGAACAGTGAGATCATGACCAGAGCTGATGTCAGATGCTTAACTGACGTAGCCACCCGTGCGCCCCTCTTCTTACTTCTTTATGCCAAAATGAGAATGTATATATGATACGTATGATATTATTTATTGCTTTATTTATTTTTAAAATTTTTTAGTGCTTATTTATTCTTGAGAGAGAGAGAGAGAGAGAAAGAGACGGAGCATGAGTGGAAGAGGGGCAGAGCGAGAGAGGGACACAGAATCCGAAGCAGGCTCCAGGCCGAGCTGTCAGCACAGAGCCTGACGTGGGGCTTGAACTCATGAACCGTGAGATCATGACCTGAGCTGAAGTCAGATCCTTAACCAACTGAATCACCCAGGCACCACTTTATTGGTTTATTTTTTATTAGCTTGACTATACCTTCTTAATTTTCTGGGTACTTCTGTTAAAGCTGACAGTAGTTCATATTTGAATAGTTCCTTTAATTGGCAAACTTTGAAAATATTGCTCCTACTTTAGTAAGAAATTATTATTTTTTTTGCCTGTCTGGTCTCATTAATAAATATTAGTTTTTGTTTGTTTTTTAAGTTCTAGGTAAAGATAGATTTTGAGAATAGGTACAATGTTTAGGAAAAAATGCATAGCATGACATTAAAAAAAGTCTGTGTTAATTAAGTTATATTTTTAAAAAACGTCTGAATTCCTAAGGAAGATTTGGGGAGAGAGAACCTTCAAGTGTGGAAATAGGAGATGCACATTCACTTTCTCTGTATGCTTAGCTTACTTTGACATGTTTTAATTGTATAATTTTTATATGTTGTCTTAGGGTTCATTTAAATAATTATATATTTATTCCTACAAAACTGTTTAAAAAATTGCTTCCAGTAATATTCAGGACTTAACAATAAGCATAATATCATTTTGATAAGTAAATTATATTTGAGATAATTCGGAGATGTTTTGAGTTTGCTAAAACTGTTAACATGTGCTTCAATTAGTTGATGAACTCAGTCTAATGTCATATTTTATTGTCCTTTAAAAATGTAGATGTTACTCCAGAGTATTAAACATTCTTAATTCCGATATTTATTTAATAGTCTTAGGGAATCCAAATATATAGTGTCATTCTGAAAGCGGTTTTTTTCCCCCACAGGGCCCTGGGATAGGAAATGCTTCTCTGTCTGCTTTCGGTTTTGTGGGAGCTGCACTTGAGATCATTTTGATTTTGTATCCTTTCTTTAACTCAGCATTCTGTCAACAAGTTTTCTGTCCAGTTTTCTGGGACAGTGGTAATTTACTAAGACACTCGCCTAGAAGGAAAAACAAGTCAGTCTTCCTCAAGCATGCCAAGTGGCTTTTTGTTGTTTTCCCTTTGAGCCTTAAGACTTTTTGAAGACTGCTGAGAACTTAAGGAAACTTGCATTCTTTGGAGAGTTTTTTCCTTGATTCTCACAGCTATCTTATGGTGTCCTCTGTCGTCGGTTTCTATAGCCTCCGGTTTTTCGGAAACTTTATTCCCAAGAAGGATGACACAACTATGACAAAGGTAAAGTCTTAGGTGGCTGTGCCTCCGTTTTGCCTTCCAAGGCAAAGGAGGTGTTTTATGTCATAATCACCCTGAATGGTTCATTTGCGGTGATAGGTATTTGTTTGTAAATCGCATAAACGCAGACTGGAAGATTTTCAGAATGCTGAATGAGTGGGAAAAGGTTGTGCTGCTCTGTTTAATTTGGACGGCTTCCATTCACTTGTAAATGCGCAGACCTGCAGCGCTTGCTAACTGGCTGCGGAAGGCTCCTGAAAGGACTCTTTCTCCTCTGAAGAAAACGTATTGCTAATGAGTAACTTTGATTGTGCAAACTGTACTTCAGGGAGCTTGTTTGAAATCTGAAGAACTTAGTTGCTACAAGTAGTAGAGACCAAGTATTTCAAATTTGAATAATTAAAGCAAGACGGAAGAGTTCTATTCAGAAACGTTTTGTAGTCTGAGGCTAATTTGACTTCCTAGGATGTGTCATTGGTTTTGGAATAACAAAGACGGTTACCGTATATAGTGACCGCATCTTTTTAAAATATTCCCACAGGCTGTCACTGGAAAATGACTAGTAAGAGCTGCTGGTTGCTTCTGTTTTTATTACATATCACATATTTTCCAGCCTATCTCAAAAGAGAACTTCGTGTACTTGATTTACCTATCTATAGAATGCTGGGACTTCTTGAGATGTTTAGCATCTAGTTTAAGTGATCATCAGTATTAATCGGTATTTTCAGCTCCTTTTATTTAATATGAAAGAGTAAGCATAGGGCACATTGGAAATGAATCACTAGAATTTAGGGGTTTTAGATTTCTAGCTTTTTGATATTAAATCTTAGAATAGTTGAACAAATTCTATCTCCTGAGCAGTAGTCTGGCTTTAAAAATATAGTGAGAAGTATTAAACGTACTCATTCTTGTTTAGTTGACGGGCAAACCTTTTTAAAATTGGCAACCTCAGTCAGTAATGTAAAATGCATTGTCTGAGGTACACAGAAAGTAATTTAAGTGTTCTATAACTTCCTACTTGTGCCAGATGCTGTAAATATCTGGTAGAACTGACATATGACTCTGAGTGTTTGTAGAAAACATTTCTTATTCTCTTTAAATTCTATGTTGACTAATATCATTAAGAAATTAACCAAATCCAGTACAGTAGTACAGGGTGAGGAGAGTGTGTGGTGAGTTCCCAGAACATGAATGGATCGATCGTGTTTATCATCCTGCAGTCTAACTGCCCAGTGTTCCTTCTGACCCCCGCACAGATCATTGGGAATTGTGTGTCCATCTTGGTCTTGAGCTCCGCCCTGCCTGTGATGTCAAGAACACTGGGTAAGTTTATGTGAGAAATGTCCATTTAAAGTCCATACCTTTTAACTGTATCTTTTCTAAACTTCTGCCTTGACTTTTAGTTTCTGGACGTTTTCCAAAAAATCATCCTTTGAAATATAATATGTCCTTCCAGACTATTTTAGAACTCCTGTGGTTTGTCTGTATAGAGAGCTATACCAAAACACTACTTTACTTTTTTCAGATAAAGACCATTTTTTTTTTTTTGAATACTTAAAAAAATATTCCTTCTCCAAACAACGGACAGTTTTTCCCACTGACTAGTTAAGCTTTTGAGTTCTCTCGTGAGTGATGAGGTATTAGGGTGATGGTGGAGTTCGGAGCTAATGGCCAAGAAAGAATTCTTGAAGACGTCTTTGGTGCAAAAAGTCGATCATTAAAGCACAGGGACAGGACCCATGGGCAGAAAATGCTGCCCTGGGGTTGTGAAGAGTGACTGGTTATTTACTATGGAGTTGAGGAGGTAAATAAAGTCCAGGGGAAGTTTCCAAGGAGATTTACATATGCTACTGAGGACTCACAGGATCCTGCAGGCCTGGCTGTGGTCACGCTAAGGTTGTTTTCCCTCTAGTGAGGTATTAACATCGTGATCACAGGGGGTTCCTGGAGAAACGTTATACTTTGTATTTGCCTCAAGTATTTGTGAATGGGCTGCAGGTTATAAAGAAACTTAATGTTATGTGTCATCTCCTTCTTGCCTTTGTTTCCCACATCACTGTGGAGGGGATGGTGATGTTGGGGCTCCAGGAAACTGAGTCTACAGGTTTCTGGAGATTAGGCTATTGATGCGATTGGCTTTTTCTTGACATTTACTAAGACATTTGTAAACTAATGCAGATTCACGTCCTGTAGGACTGTGATCTCTATCAGTTAGCCAGTTTTTCCTTTGTCCTTGGGCAGCCAGGAGGGTCTGAGGAATATCACACGTGTCCCACCAGAGGTGGGGAGGGTGGGGATATGTACTTTGCCCTCAGCTTGCCTTATGGTCCCTCATCAGTGAGGAAACTGTGATGTTCAAAAAAAGATGTTGAATGTCTAGAAATATTAAACTAGTTTTTCTTATATGAAATGTTTTTTTTTTTAACTTACAATTTAGTATGTGGTTTAAAAAATTGAAAATGTGTGAAGATTTATTTTAAGCTGTTTTGTGTTCGTGCGATAGACTTGAAAACTGAGGTTTTTGAGAGCACATGCAGATTTCAAGGAGATCCGTTAGTTTTTTAGTTTCTTACTTGCCTGTCATTTATACAGTTTTCTCAAGTTTTCAACTTCTGGGAATTTTGATCATCTTTGAACAGTAATATATTTCCACTTAGTCATTGAGACAGTTGAACAGAGCTTCATTTGGCCTATTCTTCTCTTTTATAAAGCACTGTTGCAGGCTGTGATCTCCCTTCTTGGTGAAATATTATTTCAGACAAAAATTTCCGCCAAGCAGTTCTGTTTGGCCTTCCGGACTCAGCTTTCAACTCCAGAGTGTCCACAAATGATTGGAAGGATCCATCGTTCAACCTCAGCAACTCGCTCCTAACAAAAATGTCTAGTAGCTTTGCGTTGCTTTTGTTTACCTCTCGTATCGCCTCCGTTACTTGCTCAAGACTCGCTGCCAATCGGGGAAGTGGGCTGTGTGAAGAAGATATAGACTGTATGGTTATGTGCTACAGAGAATTTCGTGTTTTAGTAAGAAGTGAAATCTAAGTATAAACGTAAAGGGACCACTGTTGCAGAGACGAATACAAAGCTTGTTTACTCAGTGGTCTTACCTCTTTTGTGTTGGCTTTATAGGACTAGTTATTGTTTTGACATCTGCTTATGGTGTGTTAATCTTGAAAATGCCGAAAGTATGCATGTTAGTAACTTCATTTATAACTGAGCGGTATCATTTGTGTTGTGACGGTCCAACAAGTAATTTCTGTGATGTTATAGCCACCCTACCACTTAGTTACGAAACTCACTTAGCGTGATCTGTTATTTAAGATGGTTACTAGTGATATATACCGATTTTGTGGAAGCGCATTACATGCTGAGTCTACTTTTAATACAAAGAAAACAAATTAATGGCAAAATTTGCTTTTTGAAGATCAACAAATTAAATTCCTGAGTAGTTTGCCATAGAGATAAATAACAAGAAGAAAAAGAAAGATGGGACAATTAAAACGCAGCTAACAAATGCCTGGGCCCAGCTGTCCAAACAGGATTAATGGAGCGCATTAGGGTACAGTGAGTCATGTGGCGCTTTGCAAAATATCAACACGCACTGCATTACATGTTATGCCCGGTGGCACTGAATAGATGAAAAGAAGTAAATACGTTAAACAGATTCATGGAGGCTTTTCACAGTATTAAAAAAGCAAATTTCTAGACTAAAAGAAGCAGCTTTATTTTAGTATTATGGGAAATGCAAACTAGAGAGTTACTTTGTAATTCCTCTATTAACCCTTTGGAACGGAGTCTTTGATTTTAAGAAGATGAGATGTGGAGAATTGTCATGAATATTATCCTAGTGTAGAACAGGGTTTTGATTTCCTAGCTGAAAAGCTCAGAAGCCCAGAATAGAGGATGTATTTAACAACCAGATTCCAAGCTGTGAAATTTGTCACTCTTTCTCACTGCCTCTCACAAGGAAACCCTGACCCTAAATGCTCTCGTTTGCTCCTGTGAATTCCACCAGCAGCACCTCATCACTTGCAGTGAAATGAGAAGTGAAAGAGTGAGGAAAACCCCGCCGTTACCTGTATGCGAGCAGCTTTCCTCTTATTTCAGCCATTTATTGGTGATGGTTTTCATTTTAATTGTACATTGAAAATAACATTGAATCCTGCATGAAAGGATTGATGTGTTGGTATTTTCGTTTCAAAAACGTTCTCTGAGTTTTTTGTGTTTTCAGGGCTCACTGGCACTGTTGGTGCACCATAGGCATCATTAAACTGTAGCTTCAGACTCCAGTGCCCGGGTGATAGGACACATTTATTAAAGACTTCCTTTGATCAGGATCTTACATTTGAGTATGGAAAATTTTGTACTGATCTGAAAAATTACAAGAGTAGATTTTATAAGCATATTACTTGGGCAGCGAGAATTAGGTTGGGAGAAAGACTTTGACCGTGTATTTTTAGTCGGGTATAATTCATATAAATGATAGTTGTCTGTAGGAAACACAAGATTCTGAGTCTCCCATTTCTTACTCGAACTCTTTAAAGCTCTTTAAGAGTAATGCCACGGCAGTGCGCATGATTTCCAAAACACTGTTTTGCTGCCTCTCTAGATGTTAGTTTAGAAGAATCCGACATTTTGGGGGACTTGATGTCCAAGTGTGTAAACAGTTTACTGTCTGGTTTCACAGACATAAAGGTGGCCGGTGAGCCAGGTGAGTGTAGGGCAGGCCCAGGCTGAATGGACTCTGTGGATGCCCAAACTCTTTGCAACGAAATACTCCAGAGGCAGGAGTGAATTCTGTAAGAACAGACTACGATTGCTGACACGCTCTTTATTTTGCTTAATCAAGAAACTACTGATTGACCTCTTTTTGCCTTGTTATTTGCAGGCTCCTTTAACAGGAGAATTTTTTCTCACATGCAACCAGCAGACCTTGCAGGACTGTTACTAATTTCTATTTTAAGATTATTTTTATAGTTATTTTATTATCCTGAAGCTTTCTATAACTTGTAATTATGTAAGGCCCAACTGCAGAGTTTTAAAAGAAAATGTACTTATGATATTAAAACAGAAACAAAAACATTTATCCCTTTGAATCACCTTGAATTTTTTTACTATTTCCATGTGTTTCTCATCGATGGGTCCCATCTAGGCCCCCATCTTGCAGGAGATAAAGTGGATTTCTCTTTTGTTCCTTGAGCAAGGGAACCTGTTTAAAAACCAGAGCAGTTTGGGGCGCCTGGGTGGTGCAGTCGGTTAAGCGTCCGACTTCAGTCAGGTCACGATCTCGCGGTCCGTGAGTTCGAGCCCCGCGTCGGGCTCTGGGCTGATGGCTCAGAGCCTGGAGCCTGTTTCCGATTCTGTGTCTCCCGCTCTCTCTGCCCCTCCTCCGTTCATGCTCTGTCTCTCTCTGTCCCAAAAATAAATAAACGTTGAAAAATAAATAAATAAATAAATAAATAAATAATAAAAACCAGAGCAGTTTGGAGAGTTCTTTATTTGGGGTTTCGTGAATATACTAATTAATCTTTACCCTGGACCAGTTCTCTGCAATTCTTAGTGTAAAACAAAAGCAAACGATGCTTAGAATTGACAAGTGAAGGGGCGCCTGGGTGGCTCGGTTGGTTGAGCATCTGACGGTTTGTGAGCTCGAGCCCTGCATCAGGCTCTATGTTGTGCATGCAGAGCCCCCTTCGAATCCTGTGTCTCCCTCTCTCTCTGCTCCTCCCCTACTCACTCTCTCTCTCTCTCTCTCTCTCAAAAATAACCAAATATTAAAAAAAAAAGAAATGGCAAGTGCAAAATAGAAGTATAAATCATAATAAGTATTCCTAACTATGACTTTGATGTAAAGATAATTTTAAACTCCCTACTGAAAATTTCTCAGCAAAAAATTTGTAGATGACTTACTGATATTGTTACATTGCAGAGAGTGTGGTACTAATTGCTTTTTGGTTGATTACTATTGTTCTTATAACTGAATAATACATTTGTATATCTAGTAATGATTTTTAACAATAAAGAGAAAGTATTCTGTGTCACATGTCTAAAAGAGTTAGGAGACTAACTGATGCTCAATCCCTAAATGCTTATATTCTCAGGATCTGCTTGTTAGGTTCTTCTGATGCCTGCTCATGTTTCAGGACATATAGTCTGTCTGAGAAAATGTCACGTTGGCCACACATTAACTAAATAACTTAGCCATCTGTTGACATCATTCAAATAGTCGTAAAGTATGTTTTATATGAAAATAATTCTAGTTAGGATAATTTAGCTAGAAGGAGGCTTAAGATGTCATTTTTTAAAATGTTAGTAATTAAAATGTTACAATTAAAACTAGACAGTAAACTACAGTAAGGGTCTTTGTACTAAGAATAAAGACCTCTAACCTGGCTGAGAATACTTAATAGTACACCTGTACATAGTCAATTCTGAGACCAGTGAGCATATTATCTCCTTATTTGTAGGAAGTATTATTTTAAAATTAATTTTAATTATGCAAGTATAGACATGAACAGATTCTCATTATAAAGAATACTCAAATTAAGGATCAAGCTAAAATTCATTGTGACCACCTGTTTTAATCCTAAGCCCCTGTTCAGAGGTCTTCAGATCTTGCGTGCGTATGTGGACATAGCGGGTGCCTCCGCGGGAGTTGTGAAGTCCTCACCTGGGTTACCTGGATCCTAACTCTTTGGTCAGCGTTCTTGTTTCTTCTGTTGACTCCTGACTTCTGTGTGCTGTCCAGTGGGAATTAAAAGAGGAAAAGGTTTCGAGATCATTTCCTGTACTGGAACTCAGTCATCTGTAAGTGAATTTCAAACTCAAGAACACTTAATTATCTCTTTCTGTTCAGGTCACCAGTGACCTCTTAATTGTGCCGTCTTGTGGGTTCTGTTTTCACCTTAATTGCTCCATGGCATTTGCTGTTTGTAATCCACCTCCCGTCTCTCTCCTTCTTTTCTGGTCCCCACTCCCCTGTTGTTTTCTTCCTCCTTTGGCCGTTCTTTAGCTATCCATCTCTTTTACTGCTCCTCGACTACACGCATACACTTGTCCCCAAACCCAAACCTCCAACCCAGCACCTACCCCTGGGCTAAGAGCAGGTTATCCCAACTGTGTATTCCGTCCCTACTGTAGGATCTATACTTGTGTGTGTGCGTATCTCTGTCCGTCCGTCCGTCCGTCAGTCCCTCCCTCCCTCCCCTGTACTTCCCTTCAGTCCTTGGCCACTTTCTATCTAAAGGGCCAAAGCAGAAACCTGGGAGTTACGTTAGATGCCTCTCCCTCCTCATGCCGACACCCAGTGGCGACACTCAGTTTCACCTTGCTAACAATTTCACACGTTTGCTTCTTCCTTCCCGTTTCCCTTACAAAAAAAGTGAAAAGAATCAGACTTGTGTAAACAGCCAAGCAGAGAGAGCTGAGTGTGTGATTTTAAAACAATATTTTATTGTTAGGGAATGTTCATGAGGTGGACTCTAGACAGGTGTTCATTCTTTGAGGAGAATAGAGTAGGGAGTGAAAGCAAAGCTGAAGAACGGAAGTGTTTACTTTTCCGAGCGAGGAAGTGTTACTGGGAGACGCTGCAGAAGCCCCGTCTCTGGATGTTTCCTTCAGGAAGAGAGTAGACCGTTCTTGTCCGCTTTGGGGGGGCTTAACCCTTCACCTGTGTGAAAAATCAGCACTCAGGTGCTTCTTGGACAGTGATTATCATTCTCATTCACTGGGTTTTACTTTATTAAAATTCACATACTCCACTTCATCTGGACTGCTAAATTAAGTTGCCTTCATATTAGGACCAAATGAATTTGTAGCGTATAAATAGTCTTTGACTAAAGTTGGTGTGATATTTACAACTCCATTTCTCCCTCTCTGAGCTTGGGTTCGTGTTGCTCCCCCAGCCCTCTCTCCTCAGTCTCTCTGTCTTCGGGTTCCTCCCCGTCCTCTAAGGCCGAGTCACACGCTGGTCACACATGAAGCTGGGCACGCTTTCAGCCCTGTGTTATACTTACGTGTGTGTATGGCTTTCCCGAGAGACTTCACATCCCTTAAAGGACCAAACCATATTTCATGCATCTTTTTATCCCTTCCAGCATCTAGTTAATAAATATTTGTGGTGTCACTGGGTGCCCCATGTTGAGTGTGGATTGTGGCCTCAGAATCGGTGAAGAAATTTCAGGTGTCCTGCTTCCATCCTGGTTGTCTTTATTTCCATGTTCCCAGCTTGTTTGACCAAGTATCTTAGTTTTATTATTTTAAAAGAACCTTATAATAATAACCAGCCAAAAGGTAGAAGCAACCCAAGAGTTCATTGACAGTTCAGTGCATAAACACATCGTGGTTCGTAATACGGTGGATGCTGTTCAGCCATAAGAAGGAAGGGTGTCCACGTGAGATAAGCCAGTCACAAAACAAAAACCAGTACTGTGTGATCACTCTTGCGATCTCAGATCTCGATCTGGGAGTCAGGATCACAGAGTCTCTCGATCACAGAGTCAGGAGCGGGGGTGGTGCCAGGGCCAGGTTGGCGGGGAGAGGAGGTGAAGAGTTGTTCTTTACTGTGTCCAGCTTCAGTTTTGCCAGATGAAAGTTCTGGAGGTTCATTGTGCAACAGCATGAATGCACTCAACACTGCTGAGCTGTGCACTTGAAAATGGTTAAGATGGCACATTCTGTGTTGTGCGTGTTTTACCACCATTTAACCAAAAAAAAGGAAAAAGGAGTGGTACAGTGATACCATATGGATGAACCTTGAAAACATTGTGCTGAGTGAAATAATCCAGGCACAAAAGGCCACGTATTGTCATATTCTGTTTACACAAATTGTCCCGAGTGGGAAACTCCACCGCAGAGAGACAAAGTGACTTAGGGGTTGCTAGGGATTTGGGGGAGGGCTGATCGGGAGGAACCGCCCGATGGGTCTGGGGTTTGCTGTGGAGTGTCGGAACTAGAGTGTTTTGGAACTAGCTAGATAGACACGACATGGCAGATGTACTCAGTGCGCTGCACTGTTTACTTTGAAGTCATTAATTTCATGATACGTGAATTTCATCTCAGCAGACTATTATTTTACTGAACACCCTCCCCCAGTAGAACAGTGGACAGTAAATACATGCTGTGTCGTCTGTGTCCCTGATGTGGGAAAATCTAACTGAACTTGAGGTCTACTTATTTTTAACGATTGCGAGTCAACTTTTGAGTGTTCTCTGTGTGTCACCCTAGTGTCGCAGCCGAGGTCTCTGTAGGATGGGCAGAACCGGACCGGGAGCGCCCTCCCTGCTCCCTCCTCTCCAGGCACAGCCCACTCCAGCTTCAGTGGCCAGTTTAGCACTCCTCCCCCTCTCTTCCAGTGTCACTGTGATCCTGTCGCTGCCCTGCTCTTTGTGCTTCGAAGACTTTGGCCATTAGAGTAAGGTTCTGTTTCCTTATGGTGGCACTGGAGGTCCCTGCAACCTCGCCCCTGCCCGTGTGTCCGGTGTCGATTCCTGCCGCTCCGAGCCCCACCCGTCGGAACCACCTTTAGTGATCGGGGTGTTCTTCGGGTGTCCTGGCTGACACAGAGGACTCTGCTCTACTTTCCGTGCCTTTGAACCGTGTGACTTCATCTGCCACGAGCGATTGTGTGCACCGCCCATTCCGCGGCTCACCTAACCTTTCCTTCGAGACTCGGCTTAGCCAGCACCTCCGGAGAGAAAGTCTTCCCTGAGCCTGTGTGCTCTCCCGTCACCCCTTCTTCCTTCTGCACGTGTCTGCCCCGTCACCGAGCACACTGTGATCTAAGTGCTCACTTTTCTCTTCCCTCCATAAAGCTGTGAGTTCCTTGAAGAAAGGGATGATCTGTCTGCACACAGCTTTTAGTGCGTGTGCGGGAACCCATGCTTTTCGCTTCCCATTTTACTCTGTACAAAGACATTTAGTTGTGCTGGAAAGAGGTAGGAGAACATGAAGTATGTTGTGAAAGTCTGCACTTCTTAGGAAGGCTGTCGATTCCATAAAGGGAATAAATATCTTACCTTCTTACATTGTAACGCCTACACACCCGTACAGCGTAAGAATATGAGAGTGACTGGAAAATACTATAAACATTTAACTTGGAACACAACAGCAAACACTTAGAAATAAAGAATTTCTAATGAAATCTCGTTGCCAGAGCCGTAAACTGAGAGATGCATGTACGATATGGGGTTTATATTCTGCAGCCTGATCGATGTATTTTCACAGCTTTACTGAGTATAATTGACATACAATAAACTGTACATATTTAAAGCGTACAACTGACAAGGGTTTTTTCTTTCCCACAAGTTTTGACTTACTTGTACATGTGTGAAACCATCACCACAATCAAAATAGTGAACATATCTGTCACGTCAGAACGTTTCCTTTTGGCCCTATGTGGTCCCTGCCACACACCTGTCCCGCTGTACCAACCCCCCCCCCCCGCCCGTATCCCCAGGCAACCACTGACCTGCTTGTTGTAACTATAAATTAGTTCATGTCTCCTGGATGTGTATGTAAATGAAATCATACAATGCGTACTGGTTTTTTGTCTGGCTTTTTTCACTCAGCGTATTTAAGACTTACCCAGGTTGTTGCATGTGTCAGCAGTTCATTTTTGTTTAATTGTTTAATTTTTTATTTTTGAGAGAGAGAGAGAGAGAGAGAGAGCGAGCATGAGCAGAGGAGGGGCAGAGAGGGAGGGAGACACAGAACCCGAAGCAGGTTCCAGGCTCTGAGCTGTCAGCACAGAGCCAGATGCGGGGCTTGAACCACTAGATCATGACCTGAGCCGAAGTGGGCCGTTCAAGCAACTGAGCCACCCAGGCACCCCAGCAGTTCATTTTTTATTGTTGAGTAGTGTTTCATTTTACGTGTAGACCACGATTTGTTTATCCTGTCACCCACCAGAGGACGTTAGAGTTGTTTACAGCTTTCGGCTGTTATAAGTCAAGTCGCTCTGAGCTTTCATGTGCAAGTCTCTGTGTGGGCGCACGCTGTCCTGTCTCTTGAGTAATAACTGGAAAGGGAATGCCTCGTGTACGCTTCACTTTTTAAGAGACTGCCAAACTGTTCCAGAGTCCTTACCCATTTTGCATTCTCAGCACGAGTGTGTGGGGAGCCTGCCCTGGTATAGTCCATGAGCTAATGTTTGGCATTCTAATAGGTGTGTGGTGATATGTCTTTATGGATTTAACTTGCATTTCCCAGATGACCAAAGTGCTCATTTGCCCTCTGTGTATTTCCTTTGGTGAAGTATCTCTTCGGATCTTTGGCCCATTTAAAAAAATGGGGGTTGTTTCCTCATTCTTGAGTGTTGGACGCTGTTTACCTCTTCTGGATAAAAGTTCCTTATCAAGATACGTGATTTGCAAATATTTTCCCCAATTGCTGGCTTATGTTTGTATTGTTTTAACAATATCTTTCAAAGGACGATATCCTTAATTTTGATGAAGTCAAATTTACCAGTGTTTCTTTTCGGATTGTACTTTTGGTGTTGTATCTACTGAATCTTTCTCTAACCCCAAATCACAGAGATTATTATCTCCTATGTTTTCTTCTAGATGTTTTATATCTGTAGGTTTTGTACTTAGATCCATGACTCATTTCGAGTTAATTTCTGTATACTGGATGAGGGATGAATTGAAATTTATATATTTTTTTGCATATGGGTAGCCAATTATTCTAGCACCACTGCTTGAAAAGTCTATTCATGTTTCCTCTGAATGGCCTGGGAAACTTTATGGAAAATCCATTGTCTATGTATGTGTGGGTGTGGGTTTATTTCTGGACTCTATTTTGTCCCATTG